GGGTTTCCGGTAGCGACAAGCCCTTTTGCCTCTGCTAGCTTCTTTAAAATACCCATGTTCAGCTGGGTGAGGGGGATTTTTAAAACACCCAAATAAAAAACAAAACAAAACAAAAGAACAACTTTTCAAGGCAGTTAAGGCTCACAGCAGCTGGTAGCCCACCAACCACACAGTACCCACCCTATCAGCCACAGGAAAAAAACATATCCTGACATCATCTGGCCTACATGAACACCAGCCTGCAATTGGTTGAATGTTTAAGAATACTGAAAAGCAATGAATGGTTTATGTTCAGTCTTAATGAACTGAAAGTGTAATAACTGTTACTTGAAGAACAAAAAAAACTGAGCTTTCAGCTGCGATGTATCCCACCTGATAGAAGACTATAGACGTGCTTACCTTGTCATAGTAGTATCTGAGTGCCCTGCTCAGTTTGTCATAGTTCATATTGGGCTTGTTCTTGCGGGCTCCCCACAGCCGGGCCACCTCCTCAGCCTGCAGCAGTTTGAACTCCCCTTCGTCATTGGTCCAGCAGATGAGCTGCTCATTGTTGGAATCCAACAGAAGCTGAAGCAGGAACTGCCACAGGGTGACGGAGTTGTCCATGTCTCTCACTGATAAAAAAACAAGGCAGGGACAAATAAATAAATTAAAAAAATGACGCTTTGGGTCAGTATTAAATCAAATACTGAGATCCCACAGAAATGTGGCCCCAATTTATATTATATTACATCTTATAACTAAAGATTTACAGCTTTTACAGGACCAGGTGGAATATCTGCTACAAGCACTGTTCACCTGTGTGGTTCTGCCATTGTATGTATTACTGTAGGGTCTACCTTACAATATAAAGCACCTTGCGGCGACTGTAGTTGTGATTTGGCGCTGTATAACTAAAATTGAACTGAATTGCTAGATAATAATGCAGCCACACACTCTGCTGAATAAACGGAAGATTTGTTTCTTTACCGGCTGGACTGAGTCAAAAATCTTCGACGCCACACTCTTTATGGAAATTTCTAATACGCAGAGAACACAGCTACTTTGGTTCGTCTTCATATCTTGGTGAGCAGGAGCATTCTGAACGACTGCGGTTGTTTACGACCATGACACACTCATACTAAACGGAAAATCACATACTTCACTTTAAGCCAATTATTCAGAGATCAACATCAAAATTAACAATGCAATGTGGTTACTATGCAGTCCTGCTCAGGCCCAAATAGCTTTCTCACATGTCGGGAGGTATTCACAAAATTCCCTCCCTAAAATGTAATACAGACGGCCCAGAAAGCAGACTTGCTGAAGGGGCCCAGGATATGCACAGGTGTGTCATTTGCAGAGGTGTTCATGTATATATTGTATATGTGTTAATAGACCTCTCTGCATTGAATCATATCTGTTATCAACCTCTATCTCTCTTCCACAGCATGTCTTTATCCTGTCTTCCTTCTCTCACCCCAACCAATCACAGCAGATGGCCCCGCCCCTCCCTGAGCCTGGTTCTGCCGGAGGTTTCTTCCTGTTAAAAGGGAGTTCTTCCTTCCCACTGTCGCCAAAGTGCTTGCTCATAGGGGGTCATATGATTGTTGGGTTTTTCTCTGTATCTATGAAGCGCCTTGAGGCGACTTTTGTTGTGATTTGGCGCTATATAAATAAAATTGAATTGAATATATTTATGTCTACAGTTCCAATAAATGACTGTAGGAACAGGACTCTTTAAAAGAACTTTTATGGGTTTGTTTTTTTATAAAGATGATCAAACTTCATGCCTTTCACTGTTTCTCTGTGTGTGATTTAAAAAAAAAGTGTCTGATATGTTGTTGCACTGCACCATGTTGTGAATTGAATTGGCAACAGCTAAGCTTCGATCACTGACCAGAGAGGAAGAACTTGGTGCAGACCAGCGTTTGTTATTTTTATGTACCATGCCTTTAATTTAGTGTTCAACATTGCGGGACTATGAAGCACTTGTGACATCCACAAGCAGCAACCCCCAACTGGGTAGCAGGCAGCTATTTCTACTAATGGCCCACGCTTTGCTAGACAGGGCTGTTTCCAAATTTTACAAAAGGCATTTACGACAAGCAAAACAATTTTCTGTATTATAAACTACAATAGAAACGGTCACTAACACAAATACTGGATTTACATTAATGGTTATGTTCATGCAACACAGAGCACCTGTATAAAAAAGCACAAAGCCGACTGTACATCCTCAGGAGGCTGAGGTATTTTAACATCTGCAGGAAGCTCCTGAGGATGCTTTACCAGTCAGTGGTTGCTGGAGTACTTTTCTATGCTGCAGTGTGCTGGGGGAGCAGCACAGCAAAGAAGGACTCATCCAGGCTGGAGAAACTGATCAGGAAGGCCAGCTCTGTGGTCGGCATGAACCTGGACACCACCTCCTCAGTGGCAGAGAAAAGGACACTAAAGAAACTGCTGGACATTATGAACAATGCTGGGTATCCTCTGCACACGGCCATAAACAACCAGAAGAGGAGGAGGAGAGGAAACAGGAGGACAAAGGAGGGGGGAACAACTAAGCTGTAGTGCCTCTTCACTTCACTGTGCAATTACCTTTTGTGCAATACTTTTGTTAACAGTCAACGGTGCAATAGACCTCAATACTTTAAATGTGCAATTCACTTGTATTTTTATTCCTATTTATTCTATTTATCCCCTTTGTATATTTTATTTATATATGTCTCTGTATTTATATATGTGTGTGTGTATATATATAATATTCTGCTCACGCTCTGTAACTTCTGTCGGTGCTGTGCTTTTGGAAACCGAATTTCCCAGAGGAACCTACCCGAGGGATTAATAAAGTTTTATCTTATCTTATCTCTCTTATCTTATCTACATTAAAACAATTTAATAAAAAACTAAAAAAAATTAAAAAAAAAAACCAAAAGAACCTAAAAAAAAAAAAAAGGATCCCACACACAATTCCATTCTTGGTCTTTCCCAGAAACTTTAGACTGTTTTCCATTCTCTGGGGATACAGTCGCCTGAACACCCTCAAAAAGTACAAAGAAGAAAAACAGGTGAGTCCTAAGTATAATAAGTATAAGTGATAAGTGACTGCCTCCACTTTACACTAAAATTAGCACCCTTATTCATAACAGATTCAACACACATTTACCCACACAGTAATCAATTACATTTATGTGGCTAAAATAGTCTCTTTATCTAACAGACTCTGCCATACACCAAACAGCTGCTCAAGTGCCTGGAAGGCAAAGACAGAATCACACACACAAATCATGTAAATGTATAATAAGTAACCAGTTCTTCCAGGCACATTTACACTTTGAAACTAAATACCAGTTATTCTGAACCAAAAATGACACACCTCCTTATCACAGGCACAACAGTAGTTACAGTATAACAGAACAGTATGTCAAAGGTCACATTTAATTGGCACTGCTTTAAAGTGATGGATCCAAGTCAAAGGTGACTCGTTTTTGTTAGAAGTTAGAAGGCTGTTTTTTTGCCTCCTCTGCTCACGTTTCTAGTGGGAGTGATTAAGACATGAGGGGAGGAGCTGAGGATGAGAATCATTGATGTGCAATTCTGGATAACTGTGACAGAACTCGGACAAAGATTGCTATAAGAATATTTACAGCTTGGTTAATTACTGCACATCTTTTCAAATGCTAGAAGATGCAATCACCACTCAAGAGGATGTTGAGAGAGGGCCGACAAAACCAAAATAAATGGTCACTGTTGGCTAGTTGAGCAAAGACTTAGAGCTAGTGGATTTTTTCTTAAAAAGAAACTGAAGGAATGTGAAAAGATCTGGCACCCTTTCATTTTTGACTGAGTGTCCATTTATGTGGCAACAGTTTTGATAGGTTCTCTTCTCGTCTCATTTTCTTCTTACTGTCGTTATTTTTCATTGTTCCCTGTTTTGTTTTGTTTTTTAATTGTGTATCTTTTTTTAAAGCTAAAAGAAAAAGATGTTTGAGCATTTAAACAGCCAGAACAACTCAAGCTGTCAACTCATGCACTAAATTATATGTAGGAAAACATTCCACCTTAACAGTTGCCAGCTGCCTTGGAACAACAGTGAATTTGATCATTATTTTGTTACCAGAACATTCATGGTCTGATAAAGACGGTGAGTCAGAGGCCCTGGCACAGTCAAATGACTTTAGGAACGGTCTACTCAGTTACATCTAAGTGTTATATGTAGAACTGCCATCATAAGAACGGTGGTTACATCACTTCACAAATCAGCCACAAATAACTGCACTCTGGTTTTTAAGTAGACAGCAATTTTAAAGAAGGGTAATGTCTGAGGTGGTCACCATCAGAAGTGTGCATCCCCCAAATAACACAATAACTGTAGCAATGACAGTGGTAGCAGCATTAATACGACTGCCACCCGTAAAAGTGTAACCATGCAGCCTTAACGGTTTGACTCTGTCCAATCCTTACCGGCTGTGTGATGAAGCAATCAGTTTCAGTACTGTTCAAAAGCCTCAAGCCAGATCTCATTTCTTTAGATTTGGCTTCCAAAAAGCCAGTAATCTTGAGCAATAGTTCTCCAGGATTTCTGAAGGTCTTTCAAATTTTTACTTCACTCACTTATTTTCAGTCCAGTCCTCCTACCTGACCATTTTCAGAGGAATGGGTTAGGATTTATCATTATGACTTATGAATCATTCAAGTACAAAAGGCACCTAACTCAAAGGATGAACCAGCGTAAGAGAATTTAGCAAAGAACCAATATATAATTCTATCTTCAGACACACAGAATTTGCCATCACTGACAAACACAAAATAGTACTGTTGCACCAATTAGTAAAAGCGTTATTAGCCAAAAACTGATAGCTTATATGATCTTTTGGTGCGTAGCGTGTCCTTTTTAAGAAGACATTCTTAAGGAAGGGAAACGGGGAGAAAAGAATGAGGTATGCCAAATGACACAGGAACTGGACTGAAAAGCAGCTGGACTTTTGAAGTGATGGATTCAAATCTTAGGTTTAAATCATCACCAAATACCCAGAGGTCAGGAGACAGGTACAACAGTGTGTGTTTCCAGGCATCTGTACAACATGGTGGAGCCTCTGTCATGGTTTGGAACTGCATTTCGGCATCTTGTCAAAGATGAAGGAATAATGAACACAGAAAAGAGCAATCTGATTTTGTCATACCAAATATTGACTTTCAAGCTCAGTAGAATTGCACAAACTCCATTTTTGCCACATTTACATATTAGATATATGCAGGCCTGCTGAGGCCCATTTGTTTCTGACTGTCTTTGAGTCATGGTGGGAAACAACACCAAGTGAATATGCTTATTATGCTAATTTAGCAGAAGAGAGTCCTGTTATTTGCAGATAAAGCGCGGTTTCAACAACACTGCAAACAACTGAGTAACAATCAAAAGGCTGACTTTTGGTTTCCTGTATTATTTTGTAATTTTCAGATCATGTCCTCGGTGTGATTTTCTTTCATACTTGTGATCAACTTTACTGATATGACAGTGCGCTCTGATTCCAGCCCACAAACACAGGCGGCACACCCACACAGGTGTCCTCACTATAACTAATTAGGACTATGTAGGAGTGTACAGAATGTTGTCGACTGCCATCTCTCTCCA